GTTAAATATTTTATTATAATTTAAAAATTATTTTTAACATTAATTTTTAAAAAATAATAATAATTCTTGGACTAATATCTGTAGGTCAACTCGTCTAATCTTTGCTGAGGCTGACCAAACACATGGTCAATTCCCAATGCGATCGATAACGCCCATTTCGGCTCAATCAATAGGCTAGAGTTTAAGACCATGCTGGCAGCCTACTTAAGACCAGTTTCGAAGAATCAAATGGGCTTGGGTTAGGCTAGTCTGATGAGTGGGTTGCCCGATAATAAGCTTCATTCATTATCAGAATGATCGTGGACCAGTCTCAAATTGGGCATAAGCATTCAAGAGCTTGTCCTTGCTCGTCATTAGATCATTCAAAAACTCAAACCTTATTAATTAGGAAATTACGTTTTAGTTTTTTTATTCAAACATAAAATTCAAATTTTTTTTTTTTTGGGATTATACCAAAAAAAAGTTTGTCAAGCTATGGTCAATACTCAAAAGCTCCTATGGCTATAGATATATGTAGGAGTGTAAACGAAAACTTTTTTTTGATGAATTGTTTGCAAATATATTTAATTTCTATTTATTTAAGTTCATTTATTAAGTTTAATAAATAATTTTTAATAATATTTTTATATTTATTAAATGAATCAAATACGAATAAAAATATGTTTTATTAGCTTATATTTGTAAACAAATTTGTTAAGGATTGTTTAAAATTCATACATTTAAGGGTTATTTATATTCGTTTATTGTTAAGTAATAATAATAACATAATTATATTTTTATCTTTTATCTTAATTTTATTTTAATATTCGTTTATATTTATTTAGGGTTATTTATGTTCATTTTGAGTTTATTTGTTTAAATTTATTTGATCATGATTTATTTATTATCTATGAACATGTTTATTTATATATATTCGTGAATATATTCATTTAATTTAATCGAATTAAATGCAAATCAAACGTGAACATCTTACCTTTTAAACGAATTGAACTTAAACAAATAAAATAATTTTTTTATCAAATACAAACTAAGCTCGAATGACTCTAAAAATGAACAAACCACATTTATATTTTATTTTATTCATATTCGGTCTTTGTACACTCTTAACAATGATCTTGTTTTGATCATAAATTTTAGTTGGTGAAGTCAGTAGTGTCTTTTTAAATAAAAAAATCAATAGCTTTTAAGATAATTATTAAGGATTCATTTGGATAAGTAGTGAGATTAGTTTTAATGAGATTAAAAATAATAATAAAAATAAAATTAATTAGTAACGATAATATTTATTATTGTAATGATAAAATTAAAATCAATAGTTAAATATATGTTTAAGTGTAAAAGCAGCGGTAACAGTGAGATGAGAATAAAAAATTATTGTTGAGAACTTTACTTTAAAAGTAAGATTACTTTCTTATCCTTGCAGAATTTATTAAAAGGTTAGAAAAAAAGATGCAGAGGCACAAAGGAAAGAAAAAAACGGCTATGGTGGAAAGGATGTTTTCTCATTGGTGCCTTAAGGTCTAGTAACCATTGGCACCTCCAACATGGTCTGAGAAACTTCAATCGCATCGAAGCATGAGATCCAAGCATACTCCAATGGCAGTTAAAGCTTCTAATCCTGCTGCATCATTGATAATTGGTGTTAAAAATTGAGCCTTAGGCCCCATTTGGTTTCAACTGCACTTCCAGCGAGGTGCAGTCGCCAACAAAATTTGTGCTCACTAATGTTTAACATTTATTTAGATGTCAAAGCTACGTCACGTTTATCTATTTCTCTTCATTGAAAAATTTAAAAATTTAGCTCTAATTGAAAAAACGCACTCAACTTCATTTTGTTTTTTTTTTTCATCCTTCATTTTATATTACAAAGACAAAAATATTCTTTTACTTTAACTTTTTTTATTTAAAAGTAAAAAATAAATTTATTAATTTCTTATAATAAATAAGTTTTATTTATTATATAATAAAATAATAAATAAATAAAATTTTAATTAATTTTATAAATATTAAATAATTTAAAATTTTTATTAATATAATTTTTACTTTAATATTTTAATAATTATTTTTTCTTTTCACTTCTTCATCATCATTATTTTTGCATCTAAAAACATATCTTATCACTATAATATTTAATCTCACTACTATAATAATTAATCACATTTTTATTACTATTTTCAATTTTACTATCATCCAAATATACATTTAATATCATTTTGAATTTCACCGAAACATTAGTACAGTGAGTTTTGGCTTTATTCATTTTAGTACAATTGCACTATTCATGCTATTTGGGTAACAAGTGTAGTCTCCACTTAATTGGAGTATCAACTTTTTATTAAAGAAAAAAGATGCAGTGGGCAATTGCATTGGAATTTTTTACCATAATATCTTATTTTTATTTTTAATTCTTAATTTTTATATTTATATTTAAATCAATTTATTTTTTATATTTTACATTTCATATTTTTAATATTATTTTGTTAAACAATATAATATGTATAATTATTATAAGTATTATTTCTTTAAACAATAAACATTTTAAAGTATTTTTATAATTTTTAATATTTAAAATATTAATTATTATTTTAATATAATAAAATTATTTATTAATATCATAAATAAAAAATAATTTAAAATTTTTATTATATAAAAAGTTTTAATTTATAAATTTTGATGATTATTTTTTTATCCTCGTTTTATTACATTATCATCACTATATTTATATTTAAATACATATTTTATTATTGTCATTGTTATTTTTAATTTTATTAGAGCTATATTTAATTGTTCATCCCGATGTTGGGATCACTACAACTCTGATACCATTTGTTAGGTAAAAACTTTTAATTTAATCACATCAACAAAAGTGAAATTAAATGATCAATCAATCAAGCACATAAGAGATAGCACTTTAATTTGATTCGGTCCAATCGACATATATCCACAGATGAGAAATAAAATTCACTAGTTGTAGAGAATTACAAACATACATTAAATCAATCTAACTTAAAAATCAATACACATAGGCCTTCAAAATCTCTTCTATTTTTATGGAGTATTCTCAATCCAAATAAACACATACTCTTATACATCCATACAATATACATATGTGAATCCTTTCAATCTCCTCTAATCCACTCACATGCACCATACCTATGTGAATTTTTTCAGTCTCTTCTAGTCCACTCACAAACATAACATTCATATACACCCATAAGACGTAAATCTCTAGTAGTTTTATAAGGTATCTATCCTATAAAATCTTATAATTTTCTTACATTTTTTTCTCATACCTAATCCTGCAAAGACTTTTCCTATTTATAACCATACAAACTTGCCTATTAAAAATTTATTTTCTCTTAGAATTCTTCTTTTGCAAGTCAAACTTACTTATTAAGAATCTATTTTCTCTTGAAATTCTTTTTCTGTAAGTTTTCTGTCCATCAAGTAATATTTAACCAATCCCAAACAAATCTATTATGAGATTTAAGTCATAATTCTCAACAATTTTCACATTGACTCGAATTTCATCAAATTATCTATCTTCATGCGAGATATGCTTGGCTCCACCTGCAATGAAAGTTTCATAATCATCTTCTCTTGTGTATCTTCACGTTTCACGTAAATCAATCCTCAAAACTTGAACTTGAACTCTTCTTTTGAATCAAACTTTTTTAGGCTTGTCCCTTCCCATGTCTCGAACCTTAATACCACTTGTTGAGATCGCCACTGCTCTGATATCACTTGTTAGGTAAAAAACCTTAATTTAATCACACCAACGGAAGCGAAATCAAATGATCAATAAATCAATCACATAAGAGATAATAGTTTAACGTAGTTCGATACAATTGACTTACGTCTACGGATGAAAAATAAGATCCACTAGTTGTAGAGAATTACAAACATACATCAAATCAATCTCACTTAACAATCAATACTTATAAGCCCTCTCAATGTCCTCTAATCCTATGAAATATTTTCAACTCAAACAATCACATACCTTTGTACACTCATACACCATACCTATGTGGATTCTCTTAATCTCCTCACATGCACCATACCTATGTGAACATTTCAGTCTCTTTTAGTCTACTCACAAACATAACATTCATACACACCTATAAGATATAAATCTCTACTAGTCTTATAAGGTATCTATCCTATGAAACCCTACAACTCTCTTATATTTTTTTTTCTTATCTAACCCTGTAAAAACTTCACTTATTTATAATCATACAAATTTGCCTATTAAGAATCTATTTTCTTTTAAATTTTTTTTGTAAGTCAAAATTATTTATTAAGAATTCATTTTCTCTTAAAATTATTCTTCTGTAAATTTTTTTATCTATAAAATAATATCTAACAAATCTCAAACAAATTTATTATGAAATTTAAGTTACAATTCTTAATATTTTTTATTGGAGAAAAAAGATGCAGTAGGCAATTGCATTGGAATTTTTTATCGTAATATCTTATTTTTTATTTTTAATTCTTAATTTTTTTATTTTATATTTAAATTAATTTATTTTTTATATTTTATATTTCATATTTTTAACATTATTTTGTTAAATAATATATATGTATAGTTATAATAAGTATTATTTCTTTAAACAATAAACATTTTAAAGTATTTTATAATTTTAATATTTAAAATTTTAATTATTATTTTAATATAATAAAATTATTTATTAACTTCATAAATAAAAAATAGTTTAAAATTTTATTATAAATTTTAATTTATAAATTTTAATGACTATTTTTTATCCTCGTTTTATTACATTACCTTCGCTATATTTATATTTAAATACATATTTTATTACTGTCATTGTTATTTTTAATTTTATCATAGCTATATTTAACAGTTCATCCTGATTCACCTTTAGCATAAAAATTTGGATTTAAATACTAACCCAAAAATATTTTTGATTTTTGAAATTCTAATTAGTCTGATTATTTTATTTTATTTTCATATGAATGCACTTACTGCTTTTAATCAAAACGCAAGAATGTAGGCATTGGATAGAGACTGGACTGCTACACTGAAAGATGGAAGCTTTCAGCGAAGCAGACGATTCCATTGAGTTGGAAGCTAAGCGCAAAGAGGACTCCTCATGGCACCCTTGTCGAGTTTCTCTCAGGTCAGTCCTTCGTCCTTCTTTCTCTGGACTCTGGTCCCACTTCTTTCTTCTTTGTTCTTTGTTCTTTCTTCTTCAACCCGTGGCCCCCTATATGAGCTGTCCTTTCTTTTTTCCATTTTTTGCCAACATTGTTCCTCAGTTATCAGTTATCCCTGTTCCATTTCAAGAAACAATAATGGGTTGTTCCCTGAATTGTGGGTTGATCTAGTTTCCCAATCCCAATTCAAAATATGTGTGATCATTGGGTTTTATTCGATTCACTCACCCAGAAAGTTTTTTTCTTCCTAAAACAATGATCCAATGTTGTATAATGTATGATATTCTAGCCAAAGGGTTAAACTTGCATTTTGCATTGACATTTTGTGTGTTTAAAATTGATTGCATTGATGATCATACGAGTCTTTTAGAACAATGATTCAATATTGAAATGTTTTATTAATGAGTAAGTGTGACTTCTGATTTCCCGCACAGCTCTTCTGGAGATAGTCTGATTGTAAATTTTGGGAGCAAGGGGTTGGAAGATATGCTGTTGAAGAAGGAAGAAGTTCTTATGCATCTTCGCTTTCGTTCTATGCCTCTTCAAGTTGATGATTGCTGCCGCATTGAAGAAGGTGAACATGTTCTTGCCATCCGCAAATCACAATTCAAGAGCCTCTTCCATGATGCTGAAGTGGAAAAGGTGCAGTTCTGTCTTCAGCTAAATAACAGATATTCTAGAAAAGTATCAGGGTCTTCAATAATGAAGCAAAGTAGCAGTCTCATGTGATTTAATATAGTATTAGAATTTATATCCATCATTGAAATAACATCACTATATTTGATTGGTACAATTAAATATCATGTATTTATGTTATTCACAAGACCAGTTGCTATGATGAATTTTCTGTCCTATGCAGTATGAACCATCAAACTTCGGTCTGGCTTGTAATGAACGGCTGATGCCTGATGTATGAAGCTCAGTTCTCAAAACTTGTAATTAAATGTTGATAAAAATCTTATTAAACTTGTGGAGCCATAGAAATCAAGTATGTTATCAAATGTGTCTTTTCCATAGTTTAAAAGAACAAGTTAATTTGGTTAACCATGATGTCCTTTAAATAGCGTAGTTTAAGAAGGTTATTTTGAAGTTGAGTTCTATAGAGTGATTAGCCTTCAGTACTTCTGAACTGTTTGCTTGTTCATTTCTCATACCAATTTTTGTCTTTAGCAGGTGGAAAGAGTAGTTTAAGAAGGTTATTTTGAAGTTGAGTTCTATAGAGTGATTAGCCTTCAGTACTTCTGAACTGTTTGCTTGTTCATTTCTCATACCAATTTTTGTCTTTAGCAGGTGGAAAGAATACGACACTCAAAAAGGGGCTGTAGATGTACTTTCATGATCAAATGGCTCGATCAAAACCTTGAAGGACAAAAGCTTAGTGTTCCATCAAGTTCAATCATGAAGCTTGCAACCAAAAGAGTCAGTACCCATCCAATCGTTCATACACTCTTGAAACCAGAAAAAGACACTGGTTTATCGTATTCATCTCCTTTATTGACCATTCTTGAGGGCACTGATGCTGAAATGGACCTTAATAAGCTGCTGCTAAAGCAAATAGAACAGATTAGCAGTTTAGCTGATGCATCTGAGAAAGATTTTCCAGAAGATATTCTATGGAGAAACAAAGGTAAGCATCCTAGTCATTGACATTATCAGAAGTTATTAATGGGGGGCCTTTCACCAAATTGTTTTACCTTAAACATAGTCCATAAAGATAATTATGATTGAATTCATCTGTGTTCTTTGTTTTTATCCTATTCTTTTCAGCACAGTTACTTGACATGTTGAACCTTATCATTTATTTTTACTTTTCCTTGGAAATGAACTGAGACATAGCTCTACCTGCAAATATGCTGGTTGACTTTTACTTGTCCAAAGTATATCTGACATTTTCTGTTTCTTTGCTGATCTTCAAATTTCATTTTTTAATAAAGGAAATAGACTGTCTCAATACAATTATTTTGTTAGCATTTGATAAGTGCCATTGATGTCTTTTTACATCTGGCAATTTCAGTGGTTTCCTTCTCTGGTATAATAAGCATTTTAAGCTGATATAAGAGCTCTTAATGTTACAAGTGCTCATGTCCAGTATTTATCCTGCATACCAACTTCTATATTGTGCATCTCGCCATAAATCAATGTCATATTTTTGCAAGTAGTTAACATGACCCTGTTTGCTAATACAGCTATTAACAAGGGACAAACACCTCACAAACCTACTGCTGAATCCAATGCATGTGTTCCAGCTGTTCCTGATCACCATAATCATTTGAAGAGAACAACTCAGAGTAAAAGGAAACAGCTAGTGGACATGGAAACCAAGGATCAAACAGGCCCTACTTCATCCATGCAAGAAGAATTCATACAAAATAGTACTCATCTAAGCCCTCTTGCTTCACGTGCAGCTCTAGCATCATCCTTGTTAACTGCTAAGAAGTGTCTTGATATGGATTTTAGTTCCTGTATGAGTGCCAACATGTTTATGAAGAGTAAACATTCCTCAGAGATATTGGCTATTTCCATTCCATTTGTTTCACAGCCTTCCCATGTGATATCACCTCTCATTTCAACCCAAGGGGACGTTTCATTCAAGTCTTCTTCTTGTATAACAACTAAGGTTTGTGAAAATGAAAGTAAGATCCCAGAAAAAATTAACTGTAATGCTGAAGATAAGACCTTTGCTCCTGCAATGGTTACTGCTGAAAAAGATACCTCCGAAGTTGCTAATTCTAGTGCTGAAACTATGACTGCCAAACTTGCAATTTCCAGAGATAAAAAGTCCTCAGTACTTGTACATTTTAATGCAAGTTCAACAACTCCTATAAGACTAACTCGCTCGACAATATGCAAAGGGGCTGTGATTCCAAATGATTGCATCCAGGTGAATGTCTGCAGTGATGACAAAAAGAGAGGGATGTCAGGGAACAAAAACAGGTTGAGTCATTCAGCAGTTTGTCAAGAAAATGAAATTTTGGGCAATGAAGAAGGAAACAACTCAACTCATATTATAGATTCAGATTCATCTAAAGGGAACATTGCTGTTCCTGAAAGCAATGTGGATACAGAGAAAAGCTCAACATCAAAAAAGACAAAAGCTACCTCACCACGTAATGCTAAGATTCTTATACTTACAAACGGAACGGTCAAAAGCTGGATTTTACACCTATTTTCTTAATTGTTATACATCTCTATACAAGAAAAGCTTGTAACTGCAAGAGTTAATCTTTATTATTTTGTTGGTTTATTTAGTGATTTGGTTGACGAATATTTCCTTAACGCTCTTTCAATTATTTTAAATGCTGTCTAATATTGCAGGCAAAAATGCAGATGGTGGTAGGAGTAATCAGGGCCAGAAGAGAAAAACAGTTTATCCTATTAAGCAAGACCGACGATTTTCACCTCGAAATTTTCTACCTCGAACTCGCTCCCAGAATAAGTCTCAGCCTGAAAAGTATGGAGGAACTATTAGCAGTTAATACTTGAATACTTGTATTGCTTGCTCTAGTGTAGCAGTCATCAACTATCTACTATTGCTGCTCTAGTGTAGCTGACATCCAACTATCTAGTAAAAGCTGATTGCTCTGTATATTATAAAGAAGGATGAGAATGATATAAATATGTTGCAGGCTAGCTTGCTTGTTAAAAGATTATTAATAGTTTCTCTATGAATTGGATGTTTTATCATCTGTATCTAGGATTCTTCTGAATTAAACCATCTGTTTATGCTTTTCCATTTTTCTTATATGTGATGCTGAGTTGTTTAATATCGAAGTTTACTGCAGACGAAACTTTCAAACTTGTACCAGAATTCATGGATGTATCCGGAATCCCACTTTCTTCAGTATTGCCGGGCATCTCGTGGTTCAGAATAACTTTAAGTACATCAATTATTTCAGCTTCAAATCTGAGGCTGAACTTCCAAGTGATGAATGTGCTATATCTAATAATGCGTAGGCAATTGCACATGCTGTCATTATCCTGACTCAAATTCAACGTCGAATTTAATTTGCTGTGATCTAGTATTATCTTTTCAAACCCGAATTTCCCCTTAATGTACTGGCTCTGATCTCTGGTCAATCTTTGTTGTGGTTGGATTATTGCAAAACTGTAGAAAAAAATTACAAGTGAAATGCTTCCCAAAGCAACAAGGTCTTTATTGCACTTCTAGAAATGTTAACACTTAATAGATCTCTCAAGTTCGCCTATCATCTACAAATGCAAATCTTCAATCTTTATAATGTGATTTTGGAAAGCTGATCAGGTAGAGCAGCAACTAACTTGACCAGCTACTAATCATTTGCCTTCATTAGAGATTAATGATAAATTTGGAGAAAGAGAGACAATCGTCTTCATAAGAAACATAAGTTCTCAAGCTAAGCCGAGTAATGACAGCCAATAGTATAGTCTTCTGACTTTATTGCCTACTTATCGGGAGTGTTGGCACTTCGGAGTTTAAACTTTGTCAATGTAAATTGATACCATAGGACACAAAATAAATTGCCATTGCAAGTAGAATAATATTATGCGGCTTGTATCAACGGCAATCTTGATCCCACATTTTGCTTTCGCGGTTTCCCCTACCGTAAGGAAGAGGGAGCTCCAGCTACCACATACGGCTTTTGCATTTATTAAGACTTCACTGATTAAAATATCAAAGGAAATGGTATACAACCTTTTTTTCTAAACTCTTGTCAACAGTTCTTGGTTGATGATACGGTAGATTAATATATAGAAGTAAAAATGGGTGAGGGGAAGCTTGTTAATTTCTAGAGGATGTAACATTTTCCGGGAAAATGTTAGGTTCAATCATGCATCCTATAATAAGAATGTAGATATTTGAATTTGATTATTAATATTTTATTTTTATAAATTTTTTTAAAATTATTAAAGTTAAGGATAAGTCAAAATAGTTGAAAAAGTTGTTTCAGTTAAGGTTATTTTATAGAATAATTATTTATGGAATAACTCTTTCACAGAACTGCTATTCAAGAAACAACTATTCAAATAATAACTCTTTCATGGAATAACACTTTTACGAAATAGTTGTTTTCAGAACAATTTCCTTAAGAAATAATATCAACACCTTTATCAAAAACTCTTTCACCAAAAATTGCTTCATTAAAAGTTATTCAACAAAAGTCGCTTCACCAAATGTTATTTCACCAAATAAAGAAGTGAAAATAACCTTGGAATATGATAGGGTTCGTACATAACTCCACTATTAGGATATTCCAAAAAGTTTGACTTAGTAAATCAAATATGAAGATAGTTAAGAGGATTCCTCTTAACCCTTCTTTGAAGTATGAGTGCTTCTCTTTTTCTTTTAGAATAAATAGTGAATTTCTATATTCATTATACCTATCACCAAAAGCTAATTAAACTCTTATTAACCAATACATTAACACCTTTTGTAACAGTCAATTCTCCCACTATTCACTATATTCCTATTCATATTTAAGATATGTAACTTCTATTCTTGAAACCCATAAATAGGAGTTTTCACAATTTATAGGGGACTTTTAGACTTTGGCAAATTTTTCACAACTTTCTCTAACTCTTTCTGCAATCTTCTCTTTCTAAATTCTTCTCTTCGCCTTATTCTATTCCTAACTAGCCTTATTTCATCACCTACCACCACTTGCCACTACACTTAATACTTTAGGGTATGTTTAGTCTTTTTCTTCGTTATCTCTTGGCATATCTCATTTTACTTGTTTACAACACTTCCTTACCTCACCAAAAAAACCCTTCTACATTTTAACGACTCTACTGCGAATGAGTGATTCCATTAAGTTAAATAATTTTTTATCTTGCTTTGTTAGAAAAAATGAAAGATTTTACTGGAAATCAAAATGCCTAAACCCTTACCTATATTCAAGAACTGATAAAGATGATTCAAGCTTCCCGAAAAATGATGCAAAAGTTGGAAAAACTATCTCTAAACTTACATCTTTTAATGCCACAACCTCTCAAGCCCAAATTAATACTGGAAAGAAAATAAACACTTCTAATGGAGTTATCCCTCTGGCAAATGGTAATAAAGAAAACACTTCAATGTGCCTAATCCTAGTGCTAATAAAAATCTTAGTGTGAACAACACTTTAGCTACTAGTACTTCTACTGTGACTCTTCTTTTGACCATAACCCAAGGCTTTATCAAGAAAGAAGAATTTCAAAAGCTGCTTGAAGAAAAGAACAAAAGTTTAAACTTTTCTAAATTGGATCTTAAACTACCTTATCCTGCTATAATGGTCGCTAAGCCATATCCTAAAGATTATACTTGTCCAAAGTTAAAGCAATTCAATGGCAAGACTAGAGATGCTTGTGAGCATGTAATGAAGTTTGTGAAAACTCTTGGAGTAGTTGAATTTGATGATGATTTGAAGTTGAAGGAATTCTCTAAATCTCTTACTGAAAAAGCGAACACCTAGTATATCAATCTTAATCCTGGCTCTAAAAAATCTTGGAGTCAAATGTGTAGAATGTTACTCTTATTAACTTAGGAAGGGAATATCAAAAGCCAAAAAAAAATGTGATGGATTATATCCAACATTTTAGGGAAATAGTATTAAATGTACAAAAAGCTCATGATAAGAGGAATTGGTCAGAGTGTGCATCTGAGGAATGTTTGATGAATTTCAACTTTATTTGTAAAATTTATCATTATCTTCTTTCTTTGCTTTAGTAGAGGCTATAAGAAAAACTAACATTACTATCATAGGGAATAAGAAACAATTTAATTATTTGCATGAAAAAGGTGCTGCTATTGGTTCTTATAAAGAGATATCATACAAGAAATCCAAGTTCACTCATAATAAACAAGTTTCTTCACCTCTATTTCCATGCTCTATGGAAAAAGTTCTTGAAATTTGAATCAATGGGTGAATGAAGAAAGTATACATCTTCCAAATGTTGAACACAAACCTACAATTGAAGAAAAATCAAGTACTATGTATTGTCATTTTTATGGAATCATTGGACATCCCACCAAAGAATGTAATGCTTTGAGAAAAATTTACCATCAGAAGATAAGGAATAAGTAAACGTTGATTTAGAATGTACATATCCAAATTTAAAGAAATATTTTTTATTAGAACTATTTATATGTACTTTGAAGCAATTCTCCTTTAATCTTTAAGTATATCTCTAAAATTTTGAATTCTTATTATGCTTTACATACATATATTATAAAAATGATTCTCTTTATCATTGAGTTGAGAGCACATCTCACCAATACAAGGTAGAGATATCGCTCATTTGCATAAATTTTTAAATAAATATAAGTTAGCTATATGCCATTTTCTAGATAGAAGTCAATCATCATGATCTCATGCACATTTCTATCACCCTCATAAATAAATTTTTCTTAAAAAAAAATCATTATGGTTTTATACCACTTTTGTCACTATCATATATAAATTATTTTGGAAAAAAAGTTTACCTTTATAGTCTCTTACACCATTTTTGTTATTCTTATAAGAGAAATCGATCATTATGGTCTTTTGCACCACTTTTATCATACTCATACGAAATTTCTTCCAATATAGAAGTCGATCATTGTGGTCTCATGCACCACTTCCGTCACTCTCATATATAAGTCTTCTAATAGAAAAGTTGATTGTTGTGGTCTCATGCACCACTTCTGTTACTCTCACATACAATTTCTTCCAATAAAGAAATTGGTCATTATGGTCTCATACACCACTTTCATCACTCTTTTATACAATTTCTTTCAATAGAGATCGATCATTGTGGCTCCTGCAACACTTCTATCACTCTCGTATACAAGTCTTCCAATGGATAAGTTATTGTTGTGATCTCATGCACCACTTCTGTCACTCCCATATACAAGTTTTTTTATGTGCCATTTCTATTACTTCCATAAATAAGTATTCTAATAGAGAAGTCAATTGTTATGGTCTCATACACCACTTCTGTCACTCTTATATACAAGTTTTTCCAATAGAGAAGTTGATCATTATGGTCTCATACACCATTTCCATCACTCTTATATAGGAGCATACTTAAATTGTTTATGTACTATCATGATATCTTAATAAGTATTCCACATGTATTTTTTTAAAAGCTATTTCTTATTATTTAAAAAAATTCAAAAAATAATTCATGTGTATTTTTAAAAAATGTTTCTCATAAAACATTTCTCATTACCTATCATTTAAAAAAAAAAGACTCTCATTCATATTTCCATATCGAAACACCTTTTTTTTACATCTAAATGATAATTCTTAAAAATGAATTATCATATGTTGTTCCAAGAAGAATTTTCGCTCATAATTTCTAAGAAGTACATCTCTCGCATTTATACAATGAATGTTTCTTATATTTCAAGGGGTGATTGTCAAGAAACACATTTTATTTATTTATTTTGATTCAAAGAAAATATACTTGATTTTAAAAAAAAATTAGCTATCTTGATTTATTTTAGAAAATAAAATTGATGTTTATTGTTTATTCTCTTAAACAATACTTGATTTGTTTTACAATATTTGTCCTCATATTTTTTAAAGAAGTATTCTCATGACTTATTCTTCTATTTTTTTTAGGAAAACATTTTCATTACTTATTTTTACTTTTTTTTAAAGAAAACTTTCATTACTTA